GCCGCCGCCGCCGCCGCCGCCGACTCAGCAGCAGGCTCAGGGCCAGGCTCCTATCAACAGTACTGGCTTCGGTGAGTAAGGAGGGCGCACTGACCCGCTTGTTCTGACTGGGGCCTGGAGATGCAGTTGGTTAGGCAGTTAACAGTGGGCGTCTAGCCTCAGCGCGCCCAGCAGAGCTCCTCTGAGCCAGCGGAAGTTGCTACTTAGAGCTCTGTGTTATGGAATTCTTGGACCACCTGCCGTTGCTTTACATATTCTCCTGCCTAGGAGCTAGGCTGCCTCTCCCTAAAGCATCCATAGCTTTACTAGCCCTCACTTAGTCGGCTGTCAGTTGGCTGCCGGCTTACATTTCACCCCCTTTTTATTATCCACTCTCCCCACCTCTTTATAGCCTTTCCTCCTGACTGGTGCTCCAATATCGACTCCTTAAAGGAAAGCTTTAAGATGGTGAATCGGCTCAACTGGTCCAGCATTGAGCAGTCACAGTTCTCAGGTGAGTGATGAGAGGAGGATGCCCCGAATGAAAAGGAGGACATTGTGAGTGGGAAGCCCAATAGAAACCAGCACCAGAAGGGGTTGGTTCGGTGAAGTTTGAGGATGGAGGATTCCACGGTTTTCCCTCCATATTTCACAAGGTGGATGATGCCGATGTTATTGTCAGATTAATTTTAATTAACTTTGCCTTAACTCACTCAAAATATGACCGTGTTTTATCCTACCCTGTTCTGTCCCTGAGTGAGAAGGCTCTCAGGAATTCAGAAACCTGGACCGCTACTTTGTAGTTCTGTCACCATTTACTGGCTAAGTCACTCACTCCCTTTGAAATTTTGTTTTCTTTGCCAGCAAGATGGAAATTGTGATAAGAATTTAGGAAGGAACCAACAGAAGAAGAGTTTGAACACGTAGAGCTCTAGGAGATGTCAGTTGTTATTGGCAATGAATCTAGTCAGTGATGTTGGTTTATGATGTGGTGGGAGCAGTGAGATGGGGGTAGAGACCGTAGGGGCTTCGGGACCCCTGCAAAGGGTAGCACTTCTTGCTTCTCTGTTTGTAGAACTGATGGAGAGTCTGCGACAGGCAGAGCAGAAGAACTGGAGCCTCGACCAGCATCACATTGCCAATCTGTGTGACTCTCTCAACCACTTCCTTACCCAGACCGGTCACGTGCCCCCCCAAGGGGGCTCCCACCGGCCACCAGCCTCTGCCCGTATTGCTGACTCCTGTGCCCTTACCAGTGGTAAACAAGAGCCAGCCATGAACCAAGGTAGTGAACCAAGCAAGTTGCCAAGGAGGTGGAGGCTCTCATGAAAAGAGAGGGGGAGGAAAGGGCAGAAGAGAGCTGAGAAAAGTCATCTGGTGAGCAGTGACCCAGACTGAGCCGCGGGACTGGTTTGTCTGCTACGTTGGCTGAACATCTAGTGTATCAGCCAAGTCCTATACTGAAAAACTGTATGAGTCCCTTTTCCACCTTAATTTGGGAGATCAGAATTACTTATGAAAGGGAGGAGAAAGTGCCCATTCCAGATGTGTGTCGCAGTCACCCCTACCTGGATCATGTCAGATGGGGTTGTGATTCTCTACAGTTACACTATCTTTAAACCAGTGAAATGAAAGAGATTCAATGATTATGTTTCTGTATTAGTCATCCTTCGACTAGCCATGATATTTCACAATTCTAGGGACCAGTAGGGTCTCTTTTTGCCCTAAGTGGTGAGGACTGATAGTTCCTGCTGAAGCTACAGAAGAGAGCAAGGAAGGGAGGCGACATTAAGGGGAGAAAGAATACTTCTTTCCCCCTCTATATTGGGCCCCACTTCATTGAGTAGAATGAGGTATACTCAAGTAACTCTTATCTTGCTTTGGCAGTGAACTCTTATGTGCACCCACAAGCCCCCCACCTCTACCCTGGCCCATCACCAATGTACCCAATCCCCACCCAGGACTCAGCAGGATACAATCGCCCAGGTAAGAGCCAGGAAGCTTGTTTCTCCAACAACCCAATACTCTCTCCCCTGACAAGTTGTTTTTGCTTTCCTCTGGCTCTGAGCCTGCATTCTCTTCCCTTCTGCTTGCCCCTGCTGGGAGTGCGTGAACCTTCATGGTTCCTAAGGCTGGAGGGTGGGCCCCTTGCCAGGGAGGTACATGTCATAGGAGACTAAAGAAGGCTGATTTACTTTGAGCATAACTTGTGCCTGCAATAATAAAAGGAGTAAAAGCAGGGGTGCTTGAGTGGCTTAGTCGGTTGAATGTCTGACTTTGGCTCAGGTCATCTTGGGGTCCTGGGGTCAATCCCCACGTCGGGCTCTGCGCTCAGCGGGGAGTCTGCTTCTCACTCTCCCTCTGCCTCTCCCTCTGCTTATGGTCTCTCTCCCTCTCTGTCTCCCTCAAATGGATAAATAAAATCTTTAAAAAAAAAGGAAGTAAGAGCATGCAGATAGACCAAGGATGTAGAACATTTATGTCCAGCTTTAGAATCTAGATGGAAGATATGCTCAGGCAGATACAATGAACATGTTATACAGACATACCTGCTTTGTGCCCATGTCTGCTTTCCTGTCACCTGACTCCTATATCAGGGGTCTGGGATTGAACTACCTCTGATGGGGGTGGGGGAAGTTGGAGGAAGACCCTAACTTGCCATGAATAGTATAAAATGAACAGGTCATTTGCTTTTAAATACATTTGAGAAAAATCGCCATTATTATCCTGCCTAACCACAAGTGTTTTGCATTTTTTGGGTGACATCAGACTCTTTGTCCATGTATTCCTTATCCATGTAATATATCTACAAATTTCTCTACTGTGATTTCATATAATAGTACGTTGTGTATGTTTTTTTCATTATTACATGGTCTTCATAAGTATAATTCTTAGTGGCTGCATAGTGTTAAATCGCCATGCGACCTCTGTTTACTCTGGTTTATTTCCTGAGACCCCACTGAAGTGGCGGCTAGCAACAAAAACAACCCTGGGCTCATACAGACCATGGTTTCACCAGCCCTTCCTCACGGTAGTATTTGGGGCTGAGCACTGCCTACCTAGATCGGTAGAATAACTTCCCAACCACTGTCCTTTTAATTTCTTTCTCTCTTCCTGACAGCACACCACATGGTCCCTCGGCCACCGGTTCCCCCTGCGGGCACCAACGAGGAGATCCCTGATGACTTCGACTGGGATTTGATCACTTAGGGCATCACGGAGCACAGCCCTGAGCCTGAGGCTGGGCAGCAAAGTCTGGCAGTGGGGCAAGAACGGCCCTGGCCCACCCCTTCCTCCTTGCTGTATATACTTATATAGCCTCTTTTTTTCTTGCTCTGTCAGAGAAGCCACTGCGAGATGCTGCCGAAGATAACCCCCCCTTTCCTGCCTCCTTCTTCCTCTTCCTTCCTGTTTTTTTCCGAATTCTTTTATTATTATTCTTATTACGGTATTATTATTATTATTGTTATTATTATTATTGGTTATATGCTGCCCCCAATCTTCTGCCCCTCCTCCACGGACTGTGTCCACCCCTTGCTAATTTAAAATCATCTGGCCGGAAGGTGAGGCCTTGATGGCAGCAGGAAAAGGTTTCAGACTTTGATTTACCTTTCTCCTTGCGAAACTCAATGCTAATCTCACCTTTTGGCCCTAAGTTGTTTTCTGTTCCTGTCAGTTCAGTCCAGTACTAGAGAAGCCACATTCTCAAGTAAAAGGGATCTAAAACATTGCTTGGCAGCCATGAACTTGCAGGTTTTACTCAATGGTGCTAATTTTGTCCTCTGAGCTCTTCCTTGTCCCTTTATATCTTCAGTCCTTACTCTGCCGATGCTCACTCCCCATCTAGGGTAAGAGTGATGGTGGTGGTGCAGGAGGGTGACCATAAAATCCTAGTGGAATGAGACGTCTGGGTTGGGTGGAGTCAAGTACTGTAGAGGGGCGATGGAATATAAAACAGTTTCTATATGCTACTGGAAACTTCCATTGGTTTATTCCTTGCCCTTAGTCTATTGGAGATAGAGTTGGTCTTGGCCAGAACTCTGCTTCTGTGGTAGGGATGAGGGCACCTATTCAGCATAGGTTCAGCTTTTAGGAGATGGTTTCAATTTAACCCTTTTGAGTTTTTAAACATAATTCTCTCTGGAAATTAACTGTGGCTCGTATTTGTATTTACAAATTATCCTTCAGTCCCCCTTTCCCATTTGGCAAATATTATTTTGTTCTCCTTCAGTTGTTGGCTCAACTCTTCCTCCCCTTTTATCTTCTTCCCCCGTTTTATGGATCTCAAGAGAGAAAAATAAGCCATTATCACTCTTTTAGTTTCATCACGTCCTAGGACAAGATGGGAACCTCTTTCCCACTGATCATAGCAGAACCAAACCTATAGCCTTGGTGGTAGGAGGGTGGGGGAAAGGGAAAAGGAGCTGGCATACACGTGGGTAGGGGATATTTCAGTTATTTAATTGTGTAGGCAAATGCTTCTCTCGGAATTCAGATCATTGGGGCTGAAGCTTGCCATTCGGCTTTCGAGGATGAAGGAAATTGGTAGACGGGAGTGAATAATCTAGAGAGGAGAGTTTACGAGGGCCAAGGGAGACCCCCCAGAAAAAGGTACAGGGACAACTTCTCTTCTTTAAGGAGGAGTGGACATGAGTTACTGCTGCAAAGTACTTAGTGTATGTTTAATGTTAATTGTTGAATATTAGTTACGAGAGGGAAGAACAACTTTACTTCTGTTTTTATTTCACTGAATGTTCACTCTCTGAAAGCTACAGGACAAAAATGTAAGGAATGGACAAGGCCACTCTCTCCGTGATTTCTGCTTTTCGTTCATATTCTTTTATTTACCCATGATTTCCAGGAGATCCAGCTTTCTGCTCTTCTGCTTTTCACCTCATCCACCCCTTCCTTTCTTTGTAAGGGGGTTATATATGAGAGTTTGTTGAAGAAGTCTGAAGCAAAGGGGCAAGAAAGGGCGGTTAACTAAAGAGCACTTTATTTCTGTGAAGTTCTTTGTAAGAAATGGGGGTATGAGTGGCTTGAATCCCCCATTGTTGGGCAGTCAGTGGGGTTGAAGTATGACATAATATTTCCCATTGGGGAAAGAAGAATTTCTCTTAGAGGGTGGCGAAATGCCTTTGCCCTGTGTCCCTATTCTAGGCATCTCTTCCTGATTCCTACCAGTCAAGGTGCCTCCTATACACAGCTTCCCATTTGTTCTCCCCAAGATTCCCCCTTTACAAATGATCACTTCTCTTTTCTAAACCCCTTTTCTACTCAGATCCATACAGGATTTGCGAGGGTAGACTAAATTGTACATGTAAATGTCCCTTGTTTATAATTCATCTATGTCTTCTGAAAACTAGTCTCATGAAGACTCTGGTGGGCAGCCGGAGTAACTGAAGTTTGGGGCTAGGGCTGGAGATTGGCCATCAGGCCTCCTGGGATTTTGGCTCCCTTCCATTACACTCAGCCTTGCTAAATGGCACAGGACAAAGCTGACCCTCTTTGGGCCTCAGTTTCCCTTCCCCTCCCTGAAATGGAAAGAATACTACTTTTTCTTGTTGGTCCAGCATTGCTGGGCTCGAAGTATAGTCATTGTCCTATTGGGTGATGTGTGCAAAGCTGCAGGAGGTCACTGCCTACAAGAGGAAATGAGGGAGAAATAGGAGAGGGACAGATGGAGCAGTTAACATGGTATAGATCCACTCATCCTTGCTTTCCTCTCTTCGACCCCCAGGTGTCTGGTTTGGTGAGTCCTTTGTACCACCCATAATGCTTTGCAATGGTGCAGGCTGGCAAGGGGGTGTATGATCTCACAAGTTGTTGTTGTTGTGTTTTGCATGCTTTCTTAATAAAAAAAAAAAAGGAAGAATGTTTATGGTTTTATCTTACTGGGGCTGGTCTCAAATTTCTTTTTGCCGGGGTAGGAAGGCAGAAAAGGGGAAGCATTTGTCTTCAATTGGTCTTGTACCCCTTCTCTGCCTCCCACCCCTGGGTCCGATTAGTTGGTCTTGAAATTGTTTTGTAAGATTGATGGTAAAGAAGAATTAAAAAACATGCATTGAACATTGCTTTTTTTCCAAATGCCGTTAAATATAGTGAAATATTGTTGGGAGAGGCAGTCATCCCTTGTAGCTCCGTGTATGGCCTAGGCCACCTTGCCTGTGTTCTGGGGTATTTCAAGGATTGGAGATACTACAATTTCGGGAGGAGTTGGATCTCCATCTGGGACTTCCTGTGAATACTCACAGGTACTTACCAGAGTTTTTCATAAGAAATGAGGGAATTCCAATTGTAGGATTTTTTTTTCAGAATACTTTTCCAGGGATGGAGATCTCAAAGGGAATCCAGAAATAGCAACATTGAACCTTTATAACTATGCCATTCACCCTAATATCCTGTACATTAAGTGCAGGAGTTTGGGACTTACACCCAGGGTCTTGTGAGATATGTTGGGACTTCCAAGAGCCTAGCTAATTGCCATTATAGCAAGCCTCCAGCTACCCACTATGAGATTAATTTGCTGTATATTTAGAGATTATGACATATTCTGAATGTCAAACAATTAAGAGGATCCATGAATCTCAGTCTTGCAAGGAACCACAAGAAAGAAAGCATTTATTCATATTAAATATATAAGAAGATTACATTGGAAGGTGACAGTGCAAATTTTACATCATGTCAGACATTGTTACCTCACAATTGAAAGACTTCCCAGTGATTTGCAATTTTTCTACATAGTACTTTATTATTTATAGTCTAGAGCCTCACCTCAATCACTGAACAAATAATCGTGGCTTGCAAGTCTAAAATCTCTCACTTTCTCTCTTTTTTTTTTAGATTAAATAATTATATTCCGCTTAGGTGAGGCTATATTGTAGTACAAACAAACCTGAGATTTTAGAAGTTTAACACAATAAAGTTTATATACACAGACAAAAGAGAAGGTGTTAGAGTTAAATAATGTTTGTTTGTTTGTTTGTTTGTTTAATGAAAGGATGGAAGGAAAGCTATATGTATGGTTAGAATGGATCCATAGAATAGAAGAAAGTGTGTGGTGATGAGCAAATTGAAGTATGATGATTAATGAATATTAGGATGATGGATAAGCAAAAAATATGAATGTGGATAAATTCATCTTTCAAAACAAGTGATTTTATCATGTATATGAAAACTAGCTGCGTAAGCACATGATTTGTGGTAAATATCAGAAGAAATGTCTAAAACTGTTGCAAGTGTTATTTCTGGGAGATGGGAGTGGGAGGAGAGATTGGTCGGGCAGAGAGGGGCAGGAAACGTCTTATGTTTCATTATAAGCCTTGGGTTCTCTTTAAACTACATGCATCTATATTGCTTTAGGAAAGATAAAAATTAATTTTAAAAACCTAAAGATATACCTGGTGAATGATACATATGTGTAGCCATGCTTTACAAAGTTGGATGGTATTCCTGGAGGGTACTCAGTCACTATGCAGTGAATTCAAGGAATACTGCTCCATCCTCCACCCTCTTTCTCTTCTCATTGGAAATGAGTGTCTTAGGGAATATTAGTTTCAAGTAAGAGGAGAAGAACGATTTGAATCTTATGAAATTAGAGGTTATTAGATGCACAAAGTCTAATATGGAAGACGATTTAGAGCCAGGAGAGGAATAACCCTAAAGGAGCTTAGGAAAGGGAATGGACAAGAGATGGTTCTATCAATAGGCAGATTGAGTAAACAAATAGAAAACTCCCCAAACTGCAGCTTACATGCCATTTTATGAGTAACTTTTCAGATGCCTTAGCAGCCCATCTTTACACAGTAGATGCCTCTTTAGTTGTAATAATGGAAACTTGGAATTCCCATGTCCTGCATCCAGGAGTATTGCACATAGCAGACATCTGACGTTGTACTCTGCTCCAGGCTCAGTCTCATAACTGCTTGTTTTCATTGACTTTTTCTTTTTGCACCTTCTTTTCATTGAAAAACATCACCACCACCACAACCAAGCCATAAAGAAATGATCATTTTTCACTCAGGTAAGACTAGATGACACGGTTTTAAATTGAATCTGGGAGGGGATTTGTACAATACTAAAGAAAAAAATTCATGATGGAAAAATCATTTTAAAACAGACTAGGTTCTCATTGATCTCAATGGCTTAGTCTGGGATAAAAATAGACTAATTTATACACTGATTCTTTAATTGTATCATTTATTAGAAACGAGAGTTTGTTAAAACACTTGCTGGGGCCCACCCCCAGAGATTCTGATTCAGCAAGTTTCTAGGTGATTCTAACAAGTTACCAGGTGACACTGATACCACTAGTCACGGACCATACTTTTGAGAACCTATGGATTGATTCTTTGATGATTTCTGAAATCCCCTGCTCAGGATATCCCTCGTTGTTTTAGAAACATGTTGCACAGGGTGAATACCTAAGAACCTCTGCTTGGGTCAACGGCTCCATATCGTCACACAGTTGTACTGATACTGTTTCTTTCCAAAAAGACTTTGCTTTGGGGACAGCTGGTAGAGTGTGTGAGGTCTTCACTGAAAGCTGCCTCCAGAATGCCCTTCATGGACTGCTTTGCTTTCTTCCTGAAATCTTTTCCTAGGAGGGCATAGAGGAAGGGATTAAAGCAACTATTGGCAGATGCTAGAGCAATGGACACGTGGTCCCAAGACAGCAGAGCTTCTCCAAGGGGAGTTTCTGGGCCAAAAAACAATGACAGGACTCCAACAACGTGATATGGAGCCCAGCAGACACAGAAGACAACCACCACAGCCATGGCCACTCGCAAGGTTTTGATCCGAGTCTTGGTGAAGCGGCCCCGTCGCATTCGGAAGATAATGAGGCCATAACAGGTCACCATGACAATAAAGGGCAGAAGGAAACCCACCACTAGCCTAGTGATGGTTATTGCCATCAGGGGTGTTAGTACTTGATTGTCATATGAAAACTGGCCTAAATCATCATCCTGGAAATCTTGGGATAGCTCGTATGCGTATAAGGAATTGGTGGAAGTACCAGAGTAAAGCTCTACATCAGTAGAGAGAAAAGTATCAGAGTTATCTGGTGGGTCAATTCTGTGATCTTCAATGGGAAACCCACTGGGGATTATAGATGAGACCTCATCAGGAGGTTTAAATAAATTATAATATGGATGTTGACTAGATAATTTAGCTGAATCCATAGGGAGTAACTCTCCAGAAGGTCTTTGAAATGTTTGAGAATAGAGGATAGTGGTGGCTGTCCAAGGAAGATCATTTGTTTGTAAAGAGAAAGACTCTAATCTATCATCTATTTCTCCAGGCATCTGAACAATGGAGTTGTCAAGAGACCCATTTTCCAGGAGATCAATGGTGAAGTCTGAATAATCTAATGAGCTGTAGAGACCAAAATTGTAGCCACACATAAAATGGTTGTCTACAGCAAATGTTTCCCGGTACATGAACACAGGTATACACATTACAAAAGCCACCACCCATATACATCCACAGATAGCAAAGGCTGTCCCCACATTGCGGTGATTCTGGCACCAGATTGGCTTGAGGACCAAGAGACAACGATCCAGACTAATGGCAGTCAGCAGGAAGACGCTGGCAAACATGTTGAGGATGATGATGGAAGGGAGGAGCTTGCATAGGAGCCAGCCATAGGGCCAGTGTCCCTGGAGAGCCAAGTGAGCCAGGGAGAAGGGCAAGGAGAGGCAGCAGAGGAAGTCCGCCAGTGTGAGATGGAGAAACCAAACCGTGTTCACTGTCCGCTGCATCTTTAAGCCAGCCACCCACAGCACTAGGCCGTTGCCTGGCACTCCCAATAAGAAAGTGAGGCTGAGAATGATCATGGAGAGAATGACTTGGGGTTCATACCAGGGCTGTGAGGATAGGTCAGTTGAATTGTTATCAGCAGAGAAAGGCTCCATTGCTAAACTTCTATAAAAATATAAACAAAAATATTAAAACTTATCCTTTTTTTTAAAAAAAGCATATCCTTAGAATTATAACCCTCAAACTACAAAGGCCCCTGTTTTATTTTTATTTTTTTATTGATTTTATTTATTTATTTGTCAGAGAGAGAGAGAGAGAGAGCGAGCACAGGCAGGGGTAGAGGAAGAGGGAAAAGCAGACTCTCCGTCAAGCAGGGAGCCTGACGCGGGACTCGACCCCAGGACCCCGGGATCATGACCCGAGCGGAAAACAGACGCTTAACCGACTGAGCCACGCAGGCGCCCCCAAAGGCCCCTGTTTTAGTTTGTATTCCTTGACTTCACTTCACAATGGACCACACAGAAACATTCTGTGATGGTTAAAATCTGCCATATCAATTTAAATGTGTATCGAAATCATAATTTCATTTGGAAGTCCTCTATCAGTGTATATTTCTCCTCTTTCTTGAACTTCCAATGTCTCAGTCTGCCCTGGTTCCTTTCCTCACCCGGTGTTCCCTATTAAAAACAAAAAATGGGGGCACCTGGGTGGCTCAGTTGGTTAAGGTCTGCCTTCGCCTCGGGTCATGATCCCAGGGTCCTGGGATCAAGCCCCACATCGGGCTCCCTGCTCAGCAGGGAGCCTCTTCTCCCTCTCTTCCTTGCTTATGCTCTCTCTCGCTATCTCTGTCTCTTTCAAATAAATAAAATCTTTTTTAAAGAAAATAAAGACATAACAACTGAGTCTACACCTTTTTTTGTGTAGTGAGTCATTTGAAAGTCTGGTGGAGGGAATGGATGGACCTTCTGCCCTCACAGAAACGAGAATATGTAAACTTAAAATCTTACATACCGTTTGAGTGGTGATGGAGCTTCATAAAGCCCTTTCATGGATCTAAAGCTGGGAACCTCTGCTCTAGAAGTTATTGTTTGTCCATTTAGCTTATTTGTTTTGTTTTGTTTTGTTTTGGTTTGGTTTTAAAGATTATTTATTTATTTGACAGAGAGAGAGAGCGCACGTGCACAAATAGGGGGAGTGGCAGGCAGAGGGAGAAACAGGCTCGCCCTGAGCAAGAAGCCTGACTGAGCCACCCAGGCGGCCCCAGTTATGGCTTTAGATACAACCTCATCTTTTCCTTTTGCTTTCAGATTTCTCAAGAGTTGTTTACCCTCTCAGCATTGATTCCCTCATCACCCATCATTTCTTTCTTGTTTGTTTTTTTCAGTGTTATTCATAAATATATACACATATAGTCATATATATACATATGTGTATATATGTATGCATATTTTTCTTGATCAAAATGTAACAAAATTTGATTATTCTCTGCATATTTAAAAATTATTTAATTATGGCAAAATACACATAACACAAAATTTACCATTCTAACCATTTTTTAAGTATAAAGTTCAGCAGTGTTAAGTATATTCACATTATTGTACGATTAATCTCTACGACTTTTTCACCTTGTAAAACTGAAACTCTAATTCTATTTGACAACAGCTCCGCCCGCACTTCCCTCTTCCCTCAGCCCCTGGCAAACTACCAGGCTATTTTCTGTTACTATGTATTTGACTACTCTGGACAACTCATACAAATGGAAATCATACATTTGTCTTCTGGTGTCTGGCTTATTTCATTCAGCATAATGTTCTCAAGGCTCATCCATGTTGTAGCATGTGTCAGAATGTCTTTCCTTTTTAAGGCTAAATAATACTCCATTGTATGTGAACACCACATTGTTTATCCACTCATCTCTTGATGGACATCTGAATTGCTTTCATCTTTTAGCTCTTGTGAATAATGCTGCTATGAACTGGCATGCATATTGTTGTATAAACTGCTTTCCTTTTTCAGCAAGTCTCCACATTATGCAGTAAGATTGTACCTTAAGGAATTCTCAGTCTTCATCTAGTTTTTTTCCAACCGTCCCCAAAACATTTTCTATAGCTGATTTGTCCACAGTTATAGCCAGTCTAGGATCACACTTTGCATCAGAACGTTGTTTCTTAAGTCTCTCTCTCTCTTTTTAGCATAGTTTGTCTTTTTCAAGGATGCTAGCTTGTTTCAGGGTCTGTTGTTCTCACCACTCACTTTTTACCCTTTGTAATTTGTAATGTTTTAACCCCTTGTAATTTGTCTTCTGCCCTATCACGGTGCTAAAATTACCTCTAAATAACAAATCCAAACATGGTTCTCGCTGTCTGCATCCACCACTACATTCTCTTGGCCTCTGTGACATTACCCTCCCCTAATTCTGAAGACTCCCGTAAATGCATCCTACCTTATAGCTTTCTTGAACAATTCACTATTCTGGCTAATGCTGTTTACTTCCTTTTTTTTTTTTTTTTTTAAGATTTTATTTATTTATCCATGAGAGACAGAGGGGGAGAGAGAGAGAGAGAGAGAGAAGCAGAGGGAGAAGCAGGCTCCCAAGGAGCAGGGAGCCCGATGGGGGACTCGATCCCAGGACCCTGGGATCATGACCTGAGCCGAAGGCAGATGCTTAACCATCCGAGCTACCCAGGTGCCCTAATGCTGTTTACTTCTGTCTGGAATTATGTCCTTCACCTTAAACTCCTTTGTCCTGCATCCTTAATCTCTGCCTCTTGAAATCCTAGCCATTCTTCAAACAAGCTCAAATATTATGCTTCCTTGAAATCTCTTCTTATAGTCTCAATCAGAAATTAGTTCTTTAACCTCTTAAATTTGTGTGTATATGTGTTGAACCTCCTTTCATATTCTCTGTGCAGTGATGCATTTTGTCTTGTGTTATAATTATTACCATGGCTATTTATCTATTACTCTGGCCTTAAATTTCATGATGGTAAAAATGAGCCTAGTTCTTAAGTGCTTGTTCTACTGAAGTTAGCACAATGCCTTATATGACATAAAGATCAAAGATTACTTCAGTGGATGGATGTTCATTTGGGGGGTTTGGTTTTCAACTAATTTTTAAAATTCTTATTCTTATCCATTTAATCCATTAAATATGCTGTCTCTTCTAACTTCTCTTTTGTTTTTCAGTTTCCAATTCTTACTGGCTATAATAGCATTTTGTGTTTCCTTTCGTAGAGTCCCAAAATATTTTCGTGACTTGGAATTAGTTCTGCTGAGCTAACCAAATGCTGACGTAGGGCCTTACATGATTAGCAGAAGTTAAAATAACCAAGTCAACAAAATAATAAAAAAGAAGAAGTGGTTCTCCTTCTCCTTCTCTGTAGCCTTATTCACTCAAATATCCAAGTCTTATTAGGATCCTTTCTTTCTTTGTTGTGCACGGCAGCTACCGTAATCCACTGTCCTGCTCCAATACATGTAGTCATGTGGAGACCCATAAAATGTTGAGAGAAGGATAGAATCAGAGAAGCTAGGACTAAAAGGAAACATAGCAATTATCTCTCTTGTCTCTAGGTTTATTTTGCAGATTTTGACATGGAAACTCAGCAAATTGGGGACGGTCACATATTCACAACTAGGAGGGTTCTAAGATCTTAAGTCCAATGTCGTCATGCCAATACTCTTTCCACTACAAAGAACCACAGAACTAAAAAGGCTTTGGTATTTTTTTTTTTTTTTTTAGATTTTATTTATTTATCTGACAGAGAGAGGCACAGCGAGAGAAGGAGCACAAGCAGGGGGAGTGGGAGAGGGAGAAGCAGGCTTCCCGCTGAGCAGGGAGCCCGATGCAGGGCTCGATCCCAGGACCCTGGGATCATGACCTGAGCCGAAGGCAGAGGCTTATCGACTGAGCCACCCGGGTACCCCCAGGCTTTGGTATTGTTAATAAAGGGAAAGGTACGGAGAACTGCACAGACTGAAGTGATAAAGACTGAAAAGAGGGGTACCTGGGATCAGTCTGTTAAGTGACTGACTCTGATTTTGGCTCAGGTCATGATCTTAGGGTCATAAGATCGAGCCCCAGGTTGGACTGTGTTCTCAGCACAGAGTCTGCTGGAGATTCTCTCCCTGTGCCCCTGCCCACCCCCACCTTGTGCTCTCTCTCTTCTCTCTCTAAGATAAATAAGTAAATCTTAAAAAAAAGATTGAAAAGAGTAAAATTCCAATATAAATAGAGTCATTGGTGTGAGCTATAGCTTAAATATCACATATCATCTGTCTTGAAATGAAAGTATGTATGAATCAGTCTTAAAAGCTTTTCAGAATGAACAAGATCACTTTTTACATTTCTCCAAGTGTTTTGGCTGAAAGATATCTCTACATTTAAGATTGGTAGAATCCTTTCTTTCTTTCTTTCTTTCTTTTTTTTGGTTTTCAATACTAAATCGGCCAAAAGTAATTAAAAGGATAAAGAAAATCCTGAAACTAAAGTTCAATTATAACAGGAAAAGAAAGTAGATTCCAGAATCAAATACTAACAATAGGGCAACAGAGTCAGTAACAATAAGGAATAAGCAAAAGAATAAAAGAAAAAAAAAAGAGGAAAATGGAATGAGAAAAAATATATATACATAAAGGCAACTGATTTGAAGAACAAAACTATTGTGAAAAGCTGGAACAAAGTTCAGAAAGAGAAACAGCCAATTTAAGAGAGAAAAAAAATGGCATGAAAATTCACTATTAGTTCTAGAATGAAAATATGAAGAATGAAGATAAATAGAAGGTGGGATATTTAGAAAAAGGTGGATGTGGAGACAAAACAAAAGAAATAAAATTTGGGGAAGGAATGCAGGGAAGAGAAGATAATGACCCTCAAACCATTATTGGTAATAAGCAGAAGTAGCACGAGTTATCAGGTGGATGTAGGGTTTCTTACCAAAAACCTGAAACAGTAGCTGAAGGCCTCAGCGCCAGTCTGGAGGTCCCCACAAATCCTGTGTGGTTCTCACACTTACCTACAATCAAGTTTATGAAGTGTGTGTAGGAAATCTGCTGAGCGCTTTCTCTTCCCTCTTTCTTCGTTTCTGACGATGATAGATGAAACTCCACACTTTTGACTGCTATCTGACTTCACAGGATGAATTTTGAAATGAAT